AGTGGGTATATATATATTTCCTTCAATATCATAGTTATTCAGCAATGAGAATGTTGATGAGTACAATATTAATGGTAATAATAATAATAATAATAATACAAATAATAATAATAATAATAATGATAATAATAATAATAATTATAGCAACAACTAAATAATTATAACAATCAAATTGACATCATCAATGATTACATTAACGTATATTTCCAGTTTGAATTTTCCAATTTGACCTACTTTGAATTTATAAATTTGACCTACTTTGAAAGAGCTTCACTGATTGGTTGGAGGCATGTACTGGGTTCCTGACGACCAATAGGAACGTTTCAAATGATTCCACTTTGATTTTGCGGAAGAAGAGTGTCGTCTTCAAGTGGCCATCGTGCGTCCATGCCTTTGTGAGGATGACGATGATGATGACGATGATGATGATGATGAAGATGACGACGACGATGATGATGACGATGACAATGATGATGACGATGATGATGATGAAGACGATATTGAATATTTGACTTTAGCATTGCAAATAGTAGCAAAAACTACCTATCGAAAAAAGATAATTAACTTTAAAAAAAAAATCAAACCAACCCTTTTTATGACCCAATTATCATCGTGACCTTTGGCGCCATTGGTTTCTTTCAAGGACACCATGTTGCCGCTCATTGGCTGGTATTTAAACCAGACGATTTCTATTGGCTGGGGCCTGGAGATGACGTGGCAGGTGACGTTTACCATTCGCTCGCCGTAAGTGACGTACACGTTCGGGCAGATTATTTTTGGCGGGTCTGAATGATGATGATGATGATGACGACGATGATGATGACGATGATGATGATGACGATGATGATGATGACGATGATGGTGGTGAAGATGATGATGATGATGATGATGATGATGATGATGAAGACGATGATGATGGCGATGATGATGATGGCGATGACTACTACTACTACTACTATTACTACTACTACTACTACTACAACTACTACTACTACTACTACAACTACTACTACTACTACTACACTACTACTACTACTACTACTACTACTGCTACTACTACACTACTACTACTACTACTACTACTACTACTACTACTACACTACTACTACTACTACTGCTACTACTACTACTACCACTACTACTACGGTTATAATTGCTGGAAGAAATTATGATGGAGACAGCATTAGTGGAGTTATTAGCAAACAAACATTGTTAAGCTGAAAACAAATGCTCGATTAAAAATGATGATGATGACGATGATGATGACGATGATAATGATGATGATGTGAAACCGGAAGATAGCGCGGTGATGATAGTGATAATGATAATGATGGCGTTGATGATAATGATGGTGATAGTCGAAGTGCGGTTGATTTATGCAGTGCTTTCCCGGTCATTCATTTAATTAACGCCTATATTTTCATCTTCTCATTACTAAGCTGTGTTGATCATTGCTACTACCACTACTACTACTACTACTACTACTACTACTACTACTACTACTACTACTACTACTACTACTACTACTACTACTACTACTACCACTACTACTACCACTACTACTACTGCTGCTGCTACTACTACTACTATTATCTTATCACTTGAGCAGCATCAATATCATCTGTTCAAAAAAAAACCATTGATAAGACAAACAACAGCAACAACAACAACTACAACAACAACAAAAACATTAGCAACAACAACAACAACACTGGGAACAGCAAACAACACCCAGTAAACTAACAATTGACGACGAAACTGACGCTCTGAGTTATGCTCTCTGCCCCTCGCGCGTTACAAACGCACGTCAGTCTTGCGTCATCGTCAACATACGTCATAATGATGTCACTGATGACAATCGTTGTCGACGCTAGGATGACGTTTAAGCACTTATTGTTGTTG